TGCTTGTGCAGCCTTCTGACAGCAAAACCACAGGAGTCACACATTTAGAAAATTCCTGAATGCTCCTGAAACCATTTCCTACAGTCATAGAAACACTTCCCACAAGCCATGCCCAGGACTTCTGCTGCTGCCACTAACAGGGTGAGTAAGATACCACTCAACAGATTGAGTAAGTCCCACTGTTCCACTCAGCTCTGGTTTCACAAGGCTTGCATACTGAATTGGGGAAAAATCTTGTAATTTTTTATGTGATTCAATTCAATTTTATTGCAAGGAAGTGCTGCAGCAGAAGAGCAAGCTCACACACCTTCTGCTCAGATGAGCTTCTCCTCTAATGCCATATGGACAAAACCATCACACAATTTCAATTGCAAAATTTTGTAAAAGTTTTAGTAACTCCTCAAGGTTTACTGTGCATTCTCTTTAACCCTGCCCTTTCAGGTAGTCTTTGGTAGCTGTAAGTGATGGCAGAGAGCAGGCAGTTGCCAGGTTCTGCCTGCTGGTTTGCCAGGAAGAGGAGGAAATACCTTGGGTAGCTCTGGTGTGGACAGGTCATTTATCACATTTTGTTGAGAAGGTGCTGAACAGTGAAACACTGAAAGAGAGCTGCTAGCTAAACAATTGGGGAATTTCTGTCCATTCTTCTTTCCACTTCCACAGGTCCTTACTGTGTCTCAGCTGCAGTGTGGATGTAGGCAGCAGTGCACTATTTATTCTCCTCCTGGCTGTACAGCTGTTTCCAGTATGACCTGTGGACAGCTTCTTCAAAACATGTGCTAGAATTTCAGCTTAGGTCATCGGGATTCTTGGAGAAGACCTGAGTTGATGCCTGGCTCTTTACTGAGAGCACAATTTGCCCCAGGGCCACTCTCCAGGTGATGGATAAGCATCTTACCATGAGGCCAGGGCGAAGGATGCTCAGTGCAACAAGAGGGAAAAGTAGGTAGGGAAATGGGAATATACATAAATTCTCTCTCTCATAACATGAAAAATAAAATCATTCTTTCAGGCCTCTCAAATTTGGTTTGTTATGTGTTCTAAAGAGACTATCTTCAAGGAACTAGGAGATAATGGGTTATTGCTTGATCTGTGCAGCTGGGCATCTATTTGCCTTTCATACCTTTTAATTATATACACCTGGATATTGTCCAGGCTATAAATACATGTTCCTGTTTGAGTTTTGGGCTGCAGTGGCTACAAGTGGAATTTTAACAAACTTAGCATTTCACCAACCCTGATGTAAGCAACAAAACCTTCTACCTGTGGTTATAAGGAGCTGACCCAGATCATTGTGTCCAAAAAAGCAAAAAGGGTGAAGGGCCCAGAGCACAAGTCCTGTGAGGAGCAGCTGAGGGAGCTGGGGATGTTTAGCCTGGGGAAAAGGGGACTCATGGGAGACCTTACCATGCTCTCTAACTCCCAGAAAGGAGGTTGTAGCCAGGTGGGGGTCGGTCTCTTCTCCCAAGTAACAAGTGACAGGATGAGAGGAAATGGCCTTGAGTTGCACCAGGGGAGGTTTAGATTGGATATTAGGAAAAATTTCTTCACCAAAGGAGTTGTCAGAAACTGGAACACAGTGCCCAGGGAAATCTTGGACTCACTGTCTCTAAAGGTGTCCAAAAGGTGTGTGGATGTGGCACTCATAATTCTGGTTTAGGAGTGAACGTGGAAGTGCTATGTTAATGGTTGGAATTGATGGTCTTAGGAGTCTTTTCCAATCTTAATGATTCTGTGGTTCTATAAGCAGAAAGGTGAGAACTCCAACACCTCATTAAAACTGAACTTCTCCAATTTTTTTTGGCCTACAGCCCAGACAGCAGTGTTATCCGAGGTGCCTCAGCATGTCCATTTTCAATTGCAGAGTTTCAGAATCAATGTTTCTCTCATCCTTCATTGCCTCCCATACACTACCCACAGTGCGAGCATTCAGCAGAGATGATATTTAGGCTGGAGGAATCCTGTGGAGGTCCTGGGAGGAAATCTTTGGTATTTCATTAACCCATGGCTTTCTGCCAGCTGATGTGTTTTTGTAACTGTACCAGTTTTGGTGTCACCACAAATGCCAGCTGGTCTTTAGCAAAGCGGTTGTGTGTGTTCGCAGTCAGCAGCAAAAGATTAACTTGGAAAAGTGTTATTTTCTAGATGCCAGTCAAATACATGGCAAAGAACATTTCAGTATGGCTGGTGACAATCAGTGGTGTAAAGTGTTAAGGTCGTCTGAGACAATATATACCCAAACCTAGAAGGTCTGCCTTTCTCTCTATATTTACTATTTATTTTACTGACTTTACAGTAACAGCATGGAATGGGCCATCTGAAATTCAGCATGTCTTTTACATCTTGTCAGGGAGCAACCTGGAAATCTCCCTGTGATTCATCTTTACCACAAACAAACCTCAGTGTCCTCTTTCTGAAATGTACATGAATACTAAAAATGCTGTGAATCCCTCCAGGCTGACTATACCCCAGCTTTGCAGTCAGCAGAAGTGATTGCCCTAATTGAGTGTGTCAATTATAAGTAGTAACCCCGTTGTGGTGATGTCAGCCTAACAGGCAGCCTTTAAAGACTTTAAATAGGGAACTTAAGAGCAGAGCACCTGGGTGGCTGGGTAATACAGCTTCCATGAAGACTGCTTTCATTAAGTGATTTCTAAGCAACAGCACTGTAAGTAGCTCTAAGAGAACAAACTTCAAAAGCCTATGGTGTGACACAAAACAGACTGAGAGATGTTGTATGTGAATAACTTACTTATGTCTTGTCAACTAGGCACCTGTGGCATTTGCTAAATTTCATTTCCATGTGTATAACACCTGTGTGCAGAATTTGTCCAAAGAATTAATAAAGGTCTTAGTATGTTACTGCTGAAACACTGAGTACTTCTGGAAATCCAATATGCAATGTCAGGAGTTTGAATAACATGTGTACATGAAATTATGATTAAAAATAATTGAAAGAAATTATTCCTTCCGTTCTAGTAAGTTTTGATTTTTCCTAGGAGTATCAGGGCATGTGCTCCTTACCATGCAAAGATATCTTTCTCCAGATCTCAGTTTCACCAAATATGAATTGTTTCAGAGGCTCACAAACCCCCTTATCTCACTTAGCAAGTAAACAGATTAGAGGCTCAGGCACTTTTTCATTCACTTTATTTGGCAATGCTGTTTACCTATATTACTAATTACCACACTAATAACATTAGTAACCACATTTATAAAATACACCAAAGTTCCAGACTCAGACCATTTTTAATATATTTATTCTATCACAAGTATATTCATTTCTCATCCACAATTTATCCTTCATTTTTGCCACATGTTTCAAAGTGTAAAAGGAAGCTCATGGAGGTATCAATGGCAAGCTTTCTTTTACAATTGGAAACTACCATCCCATTACATACTTGCATCATAAAAATGTTTTTACCACAGTGAACATTATATTTCATATTACTTTTTTAAAACAAAAAAAATTACCCATTTTTCTTTTTCAGTTCCCTCCCTAGCTCATGTTATGCTTCTTACGTACTTATTTGCTACTTTCTAGTCTCAGCAACATCAATTAGAAGTGTCTTGTAAAATAAATATGGACTATAGATACATGCTGAACAAGTCTGGAATTTCCCTCCAAAACAAACTTTGCTTGAAAAATGTCAGTTTGTTGGAAGTTGATGGGGAAGCAGGCATCCAAGGTCCATGGCAGAAGGGTTTGCCACCACCAGGCTCACTGGTTCTTGGTACCACCACTCCAGGCTTTAAGGTCTGGGTATCCTGCCCTGGGGCACCATGATCTCTGGGTCTGTGGGTGAATTAGCTGTCGACCAAGGTGACCACAAGAGTCAAGGGTGTAGGGAATTTGAGGGAATGGGAGAAGGTGGCTGCTCCATGAAATATAGGGGGAGGAAATTAAGTATTTCACTCTTTTTACAGTAATATTTTTAAGTGTTTCTAGTCCTGAAATTCTTTGTCTGCTTTCATTTCACAATTAAATTCATTGTGAAATTCATTTTTCTTTTGTTGTGATAAAAATGGGGCTTTACCCCTAGTTCTGCATTCCAGCAGTCTCTTGCAGAGGCCCCTGTGTTGCGATACGGGAACTGGGGTTGTGATGACGTTGGCCGTCTTGTCCCCCAGGATGTGGCTTTGTCAGACCCCCTGAGCAGTGACCCTTTCACAGGAGGCAGTGGAGAGGCTGCCTGACAAAGGACTTCATGGTTTGGTCTCAGGGGTCTGAGACAGTCTAGCTAATGGTGAACTGGCAGAGTTCATTTGGTGCAAGAACCTTCTGCTCACTGCCCAGTGCTGAGACAGCCAGGTTTTCACCTTTGCCTGTGCGTGGGAACTTGCAAATAGATTTCCTCATTGAGCCCCAATTCCAGTGGTGCTCCCTGAAGCACCAGCTCAGGGGCTGTCACCTGCAGAGAGGAGGGGGAGCCTTTGTCACCCTGCTCCCAGTGCCAGTGCCCCTGTCCCCTCGGCCTGTATGCAGCCCTGCTTAAGTACATGGAACCTGAGCAGTGAGAATTAGATTTAAGGAAGAGTTTGATTTGAAAACAGCCCCACACCTCTGTCCTCATTTGAAATTTAACACAAGGTATTATTTTATCATGTTTGCAAATGTGGATTGTGTCCTTGAGGGAAATAAGTTTTTGATACGGAACAGAAATGTCAGGATTTTAACTCAATTCATGGTTTTCATCTAGTAAATGTCATTCTTGCCCCATGTGCATTGTATCTTTATTTTCATATTGCTCAGATTTTAGATTAAATAATCTCATTATTTTGACTTCCTGGGTCAATTAGCTGATGAAAAATTATTTTTGAAAATTTCAGATTACAAATCCTATCTACAGATTAAATTTTTCACTTTTTGTGACAAATGGAAATACATATAATGAAGTGCATTAGAATATTGGTCAGAGGCTTGCTCTAAGCTAAGCACAGAGTGAACATTTTTATGTTTCTTGGCAGTAAACCAGCTTCTCTCTTTTCTCTGTTTTGCACAGTCCTACTAAGCCAATCCTCACTAGAATGAGCACAAAACAAATGAATAACAGCTTTTGTACATCAACATTAAAATGGGAAGAAGCTTGGGAAAGGGCCTCCAACAGAGAAGAATGCTGACAAGTGCAAAAATGCCTGATGGATAAGCACCACCTTCTAAACATAGATCAGCCAGACATGGAAGTGATTTCAGCAGAGAAATGCAATCATGGATTACACACCAGCTCATTAGAAACTGTTGCTGAATACAGCATCCAGAAGACATGCATGAAAAGTCACATTTGGGGAATAAATTAAAAGGGGTGTAGTTGTTGCTAGATAAACATATGTAATATATATGCATTGAAGAGGTTTGTAAATGTAATTTTTTTTTTATTCGGACAGAAAGCAAAAAGCTTTAAAACCTTTCACAGTAGAGAGGCATTTAACTTCAGACTATTCCTATCCCAGTAGCCAAGAAGCTGTTAGGACATCTCTCTTAAATTAGCATTTATAAACTCTGAATGTTTCCATCACCTAGTGGAAAAAGCATAACTTTTACTGCTACATTGCTGCACTTCATTTACTTCACTGTATAATAAGTTGACTAAAACTGTAAAGCTTCTCAATTTTTACTGCATATGTGTTCCAATTAATATGTCTGTAACAAACTTAAGACTCAAAAATTATTTCTGACCTATATTCTAGTTCTATGAAACATATATACTATAAGGTATGTCTGAATATCATAATACTATAATTTCCCAAGATGCATAGAATTGTTTGTATTTGAAGTGACAAAATAAAAGCCCTTGATTTCTTTTTTAATAGGGGAAAGTAATTTATCCCTTAAATTTAACCTGCTGCTGCTCCCTTCAAGGGCCTTTCTTTTCCCTGTTCTGCCATACATCTGTGGAGTGACACTCTCTGGCCCATGCTAATGCAAATCAGACAGGGTGATCTAATGAGACCTTCTGGCCTTAAGTTTAAATTTGATACAACTCAGTAAACCCCTGAGTTTAAACTCAATACAAAAATTAACAGACTAGTAAGCAAATACATGTGCAAATAGCCATGTGCGGGCTGGATGCAAACAGCCCTGGGGCACTGGCAGGGAAGTCATTCCCTCCCAGGTCCCAGAGAGCACACTCAGCTCCAGGAGCCACAGAGAAGTAAAACAGGAGCAGGCACAGGAGGAGCTCTTAGTGCAAGGCCTGGATGTGCAGCAGCAGGGGGAGGCAGGGACCCCCAGCCCCTCTCTAACACTCCCACCAAGGCACAACACGCCTGTCCTGGCTCGGGACTGGCCAGGGGCATGTTGCTCCCTGCGTGCCTCTAGGTTCTCCTGTGTATCACAGATTAATCCAGTGCAAAATGAGCACTGCAGTGCTGATTCCTTCAGGGGTTTTAAAGCCTGTTCCTTCATTCTTTGGCTTTCAGAGGAAATGGCTAAAATTATAATTAATTGTTAGTGTTGATCCCAAATAATGCAAAATGCTGAAGAGATGAGGAAAACATGAGTTAAAACTTCTTTTTAACTATTGACTGCACAACACAAATTATTCCAGAATTTAGTGCAAGAATCTCAAAAAATTTATTTTACTTTTGAAAGAAAAATTATCTTTAAGCAAACTGCCAGTAAACAAATACAGGGAATTAGATAACTTTTCTATATAACTACCAAGGTACCAATGTGGCACTGGCTTCACTTGGATGTCAGCCAAGTAAATATATATGTGAATCTGGGCAGCATTTAAAAAAAAAACTTTTTTTTTAATCTGAAACTGCTCTTATAACTGGATGTATAAAATTCTTCTGGCTTCTTGACCAGCACTAGCTGGTCAAAAACCCCACCCAAATCAGTCAACAACCATAAACATCTTCCCAGTACCTGCTATTGACCTGAAGGGGATGGAAGGTAAAAACCAAGTACTTCACACATGAGGCAGCATAAACTCATGTAAGGGCCCACTTCAGACAGGTTTTAGTCTGTGGTTAGTCCAACCAGTGTCAGCTGGAAAATGCACATCCTCAGGGGCCAGATGCATTCAGGAGTCCCTGTTAACTGGCGTCTCAGTGAAGCCCATCCTCATTTTCTGCTCACTGGCTCACCACCACACCCACACCTCAAAGCCTGTGGAAGGGTTTGTTATCTGGATCTGCTCTCATATCACCATCTTCATTTGCTCCTTGAGTTTACCTCTATCCCACGTTATTGCAGTCATGGCACTTTTGCCGTGACAGAAATCACGAAAACAGGGTTTGTCTGTATTATATTATTTTGTTTAGCTTCATGGTGGTGTTGTAATGTAAAAGCCCTTTCTAAATACACACAAACATTGCAAAAGAAATGCCATCACAACCCTGCCAGGGCAGCTCAGTGAATATGTACAATTTGTACAGAGTCAGAAAGGAGAGACATACCAGGATGTACATCATTAAATACCAACTCAGTAAGAATAGTATGTCTTATCTTTTTAAATGTTACCATTTTCCTATCCCACTCCATTGTAACTTGTCAATTGTAATTTCTTTTTAAGTCAAAAAACTAAAGAAAACTGTTGAAATACCTGACTTTCTGTAAAAGTAATAACAATAATTTTTGTTACTTCAAAGTATGCTTGGTATTAAAGTACCTAATAAAGTTCAATAATGACTTTTGTAGCATACTAAAATAAAGTGTGATAGTGCTTTTCTCCAGCTCATCTGTGATAAGGGCAGCTGTTGTTGGGGTCACTGCCCTCTTAAACACAAGCCTGGATGCCTCCTTCACATCTGTACCTACAGAGGTCCCTCAGGTTTGTAAAGTCCAAGCAGAATTGGATTCCTTAATGATTGCAGAGATTTGTAAGTATGGGAGAAATTCCTAGGAGAACCTTGTTGGTAAGTCATCTCCACCCTCTGGTATCTGGCTACATCTCCATATATGGACAACAATACAAAGTTCCTAATTACTCTAGTATAAAACTTGATTTATAGTAAGAGAAAGAGCATAAATTACTTGTAAGTTTATATATATATATATATATAAAAGTTAATATAGTAATATGTAAGTTATATTATGTATTAATATATTAGTTATTAATATGTAAGTTATAGTTCGAGAACTGCCAGGTTTGTAGGATGCTGTTCATTTTTATAGGCAATGCATTTCAGTTATTTATAGACTGGAAATCCCAAACAAGTGATTGGGATGCCACAGTAAAGCTCAGAAGTTAATCACGCCCTAATTTCACTACATGAAGGTACACTGGAGCCATCAAGGGCTGTCACATCATTCCAGAGTTTGCACCAACAGGAGGTAAGTACTTCCTTGTCAAAAAGATACTGCATTTGCCTCCATGCTGCTGATGCAGCAGTATCTGCATTTGGAGATGATCTAGAAATTATTGTGACTGGAATCTAATTATGCCCAAACTGCCAGGCTCTGACATATTTCAATGAGTAATAGATCAGTTTCCCTCACACTGTCCATCTTTCCCTATTCTAGGGAGGAAAATTAAATGCTGGGCCCAACAGCTTTCTGTCTGTTTTTACTGCTACTCTGATATCCTTAGTTTTAGTAGTTTCATCTGATTCTCTGAGGATATGAAATGGAATAAGATCTAGACAGTTTAAAGTAAATAAAAAACCCACCGCAGATTTGTCCCAACCAGTTTACACATTGAAAAGACAGCCATATGCTGAATAGGTTCTGAGGTATTTCTAGAAAGCAACACTTTTTTTCCCTATGTGCTGAAGCCAAGAGATTTACACACTTCTCCTTCCAAAGGAGCTCTGTACAGAATGGAATGGCTTCGCCTGCTGTTGGATAGCTGGCAGTACATGCACACATTAGGCATCCTTGCAGCCATTCCACCTTGGTCTGTGATTCTCAGCAGCCTACATTAATAACTTGAGTAGAGATTTTCACAGAAGGCCTGGAATTCTGTAGAAGGTAGAATATGTAGTTTAAAAATAAATTCTCTTCCCTTTAGATCAAATGTTTGTGTCATGGTGCTGGAAACACAAAGCCAAAGCTTGCAGTGTTCAGATACTGATGTGATGCTTTCTATTACCCATCTGTCTCTCTTAAATTTTTGCTTAGTGTTACTTTATGCTGCCTTCTGAAATGTCTTTTGCATTTTAAAAAGTAAAGTGATATAGCCTTCCTTTCTTCCAGATAGTCTCATAACCCCATGGGATGGGGGGAGATGGGGGGCCAGTTACACAGCTTTTCCACTTCACAAAGTGATGAGAGAAGTACTGCCTCTGAAGAGAACCTCCAGGGAAAAAAGTATAAGCAGAGACAATATGCTCATCAACTCCCAAGAGGAGATGTTACCCCTAATTGCCTATGAGACACTACAAAGCTCTTCTGCTTTTGAAGCAGCTCCAAAAGTTGCTGCAAAACACTTCCTGAGATCACCAGTGTGACACCAGCCTCCAAGTCTGAAGATTATCCCAGTCACCTGGGAAAACAGCCTGGAAGTGAAAATGCTCCAAAAAGCTAGGAGCTGGGGCTGAATTAACCTCCACAAACCAAATTTAAATTGGTGTAACAACATGGATTATTACTCCTGATTTTGTCAAGTGCAAGATAGCTTTATATTAGCCTAATATAGATGTTAGGATTATTAATAAACAAAATTACATATTGTTAGTAATTTCTTACAAGAAAAGTGAAATAAAGATTGTCAAAATCCTATATGCTAGAATGAAGTATCTTTGACATGATTACAATATATTTTTAAGTTATTTCCACAGTTTAACACCAGAAGATGCACTAGATAATCAGCTACATTACCAGTTACACAGACTCAGGATTCTCCTGTCAGATCCCAGCACAGGAAGGTAGGAATTTTGCTCTGCCATAGCAAAAACCAGGAACTTCATCACTTTGACAACTCTCAACCATGGCTTTTGCACAAGATATCAGGCAAGACTCTGGGATGTCAGGACAAATGTCAGGCTTACAAGTATGCAATTAACACCCTGATTCTCCTTTATATAACTTTAAACCAACACAATGCCAAATTAATAACAAGCTAGACATTCAGTCTGAAAAAGAAAATTAGGTCTCCTCTCTATTTGCTTTGATTTTTTTTCCATTAAAAATGAAATTAGTTGGAGTGTCACTGGAATATTCTGAGGGTCTACTAAGTGCCTGCTGTATTAGTTGAGTTTCTCAAATGGCAACTGAAAGTAATGTAAAATATTATGCTCCAGAGGCCATGAGCTGAGATGGCTGGTGACGGAGCTTTCTAGAAGAGCTTTTAGGTGATAAACTGACTATACATGTCATCAAGAAAGGAGCTGTTTAAGTCAGTATAGCTGAATTTATGTATGCTTGAGAAGGATAAGGAATAAAATAATTCAGAAATTCTGAAAGAAGTTCAGGCTTAATATATGCCATCATTGTTGGGGGGAGGGGGTAATTCGTATTTTATATGCTTTAATAGAATATGAAAATCCTCATTTACGGGTTTTAATTTATTTTGCTTTAAGTAATGTGAAAATCCTTCACGCACAAGGTACCTTGGGGATGCTGAGAGCAGCGGAGCTTTGCTGGAGCAGCACCGGGCCCGAAGGATGCTGTCCTTACCTGTGCTGCCATCTAATGGCGCACCAGCCTCGGCGGGCGTCGCGCTCGGAGCTCGTTTCTTAGGGCAGCTCTGCATTTGCCTTCCTAGAGACCAAGGTAACAACACAACGCACGCGTTACCTCCCGTGCCTCCCAGAGACAGGGCAAAATCCGAGATGAAACAAACCATCACCCTATTAGCTCACACTGCATAAAGGTTGAGATGAAATTTGAGAAATTTTAAGTTTTTGTTTGAATTTC